GAATTGAGGGGTACTATATTATAATAAGATGCTCGAAATCTCTTCCACCTATAAGTATTTTAGGTTAAACTGTAATTGATTATGATCTTCATCCTAATGATCAAACATATATCTATAATCCCATACTGTAAACATGTTATATAAACTAAATGCGAAAGCGTACCTGAATTAGCCATAATGATGATATTCTTTGTAGAGCACTTTTGATTTGATCTTATGGTCTTCCACCTGAAGAGCACCCGTATTTCCCTATGGATTTTCTCTCTTGATGGGGATAGAAAGAAAAGAACAGGACTGTATCTGTATTCTGTCTGTGTGCTCTCAGAAGGGGACCATGACCCTTTATATAACCAAAATTAGGTTAATTACTTAAGTTTTAGTATTTTCAATTTGGCCCCTCATCAAATTAAAAATTACTCTATGGTCTCTACACAATCATATTTTCATGACATATGCCTTTAGCCAAAACTTTAATTTATTCAGATCACTTTATTATTTGGCTTAATAAATAATGACCCTAACACATTCAAATATGTATCATATATATACATGACCCAAAATTTGCTAACAATCTCCCACTGGTCACAAATATATATGTTTATACAACCTTACAAATGTGTTAGACTTTATGAGCTCAAAATTGTCATTATATTCCTTTAGCATATTCCAAAAGTCCTGTCCATTAATCATATCAGGATATAGAACCAAACCAGCTTTTCATTGCATCATCGCAACTAAAACCAACAAGATTACTCATCCTGACATAACCAAATGACATGGATTCATCATGAAATGTGTAGCATGAAAAATTACGTGAAGGTGATCTGTACACGTCTATTTTCAACTGGTCCAAACTTTAACTTATCGAGATCGATATAAAAACCTTAATGTACAAAGTGTAATGAATGAACAAAAACCGCATATCTATAGATAACCAAATATGTCCAAAAAAAACAATGTATACATATATTAAATTAAACATAGAACATAAAATATATGAAAATGACTAACTCCCACTAAACCACAAATTCCTCAAACTGTAAAACACCCATGTGAGCAACATGTTCATGAAAGACCTTGGGTGGAAGTCCTTTAGTTAGAGGATCTCGCTATCATGGAGTTTGTCCCTAAATGTTCTATGGAAATCTGTTCACTCGTACTCTTTCCTTAACAACTAGGAACTTAATGTCGATGTGTTTTGACTTAGTCGAACTTCGTTGTTGTTGGAATACAATACAGCTGATTTGTTGTCACAATATAACTTAAGTGGTCTTTCAATGCCTTTCACAATTTGCAGCCTCGTGACAAAATTTCTCAGCCATATTCCATGATTCGACGCCTCATAGCATGCTACAAATTCTCGCTGCCATAGTGGATGAAGCTGTAAGGGTTTGCTTGACACTGCGCCAAGAAACCGCAGCACCTGCTAACATGAAAATGTAACCTGAAGTGGATTTCAAACTATCTTGACATCCTGCAAAGTCCGAGTCAGAAAACCCAGCGATCTCCAACTGGTCTGACCTCCTGTATGTGAGCATGTAATCTTGTGTTCTCTTTAGATATCTCATGACCCTTTTTGCCGCTTTCCAATGGTCCATTCCTCGGATTGCTTAAATATCCGCCTAGAACCCCAACTATGTATGCTATGTCCGGACGCGTACATACTTGGGCATACATTAAACTCCCTACAACTGATGTATAGGGAATCTTTTCCATTTCCTCAATTTCCAAATTTCCCTTTGGGCACCGATTGAGACTAAACTTGTCTCCCTTAGCAACTCGGAGTATCCCGGATTTACATTCATACATGTCAAACCTTTTAAGAATTGTTTCGATATAGCTCCTTTGTGATAATCCCAAAATACCCCGACATCGATCTTGGTGTATCTGAATCCCTAATACAAAAGACGCATCACCAAGATCTTTCATTTCGAAATTCTTTGATAAAAATTTCTTGGTTTCGTGCAATATGCCTATATCATTAGTGGCAAGTAGAATGTCATCAACATACAAGATCAGGAAAATATACTTACTCCCCTTAAACTTGTGATATACACAATCATCAACAATATTCATCTGAAAGTCAAATGAGAGAATTACTTGATGAAATTTATAGTACCATTGACGAGATGCTTGTTTTAGTCCATAAATGGATTTTGTCAGTTTGCAAACCATACTCTTTGAATCTCCCTGCACAAAATTTTCTGGTTGCACCATATAAATCGTCTCATCAATGTTGCCATTAAGAAACGCCGTCTTGACATCCATTTGATGAAGCTCCAAATCATAATGTGCTACAAGAGCCATGATTGTCCTAAAAGAGTCTTTCGATGAAACTGGAGAGAAAGTCTCTTTAAAATCAATCCCTTCCTTTTGAGTATAGCCCTTAGCTACCAGACGAGCCTTATACATTTCCACATTACCTTTAGAATCCCGTTTGGTCTTAAATATCCACTTGCAACCAATGGGTCTCATACCTTCTGGTAATGGGACAAGTTCCCAAACCTTATTGTCTTGCATGGACTTATACTCCTCCTTCATTGCTTCGATCCACTTTTCAGAGTTAGAACCTTGCATGGCTTGACGGAAGTTAACTGGGTCATCTTCCATCATACCATTGTGTTCTTCATGTTCCTGAAGAAATACCATGTAATCATCCGAAATAGCACTTCTTCTTTCTCAGTGGATCTCCGCAAAGTTATTGGCTCATGATGCACAGGTTCTTGAGGATCTTGAGTAAGGGGTTCATTAACAATGCCTTGTGGAGGTTCTGAACTTACTTTATCAAAAGTAACTGTTTGAATCGGTTCTGGAATTGTTACCGATTCTTCCTCTAAGACAAAGTTCCTGATTTTATTCTTCCCCCCAAACTCAATATCCTCAAAAAACGTAGCAGTTCCCGTCTCAAAAATTGTCTTTAATGTGGGATCATAAAATTTATATCCCCTGGATCTTTCAGCATAACCAATAAAATAACTACTTACTGTTCGGGAGTCCAATTTCTTTTCATTTGGCTTATAAGGCCTTGCCTCAGCTGGACATCCCCACACATGGAAATGCTTCAGACTAGGTTGTCGCCCAGTCCAAAGCTCATAAGGTGTTTTGGTCGCTGCTTTAGTTGGTACTCTGTTCAGAATATAAGCTGCCGTCTTTAGTGCCTCTCCCCGAGTGACTCGGTAAGGTGGAATGACAAATCATACTCCTGACCATATCTTTAAGAGTCCGGTTTGTCTTTCAGCCTACACCATTCATGCTAGGTGATCCCGGCATGGTATACCGTGGGACAATTCCACACTCCTCTAGGTACCTGGCAAAAGGTCCCGGACGCCGTTCACCTGACCGATCAAATCCGCCATAGTACTCACCACCACGATCAGATCTCGACGGACTTAATTCTTTTATTGAGTTGATTTTCAACTTCAGACTTTAAATGTTTTGAACACGTCTAGAGATTGTGACTTTTCATGTATAAGGAATAAGTATGCATATCGTGAGTAATCGTCTATGAATGATATAAAGTATTGTTGACCATTCCACGAAGGTGTAGGAAATGGCCCACAAATGTCCGTATGTATCAACTCTAAGACGTCTGTAGCTCTATATGCACCTAATCTTTTCGCTTTGGTCTGTTTGCCCTTAATGTATTCAACACAAACATCAAAGTTTGTGAAGTCAATGGACTCTAAGATTCCAGTTGACACAAGTCTTTCAATTCTATTTTTAGAGATGTAACCTAAGCGCCTGTGCCATAATGCTCCTGAGTGAGTATCATCAATTTTACGTTTAGTACCCCGTGATTCTGTATTAAGGGTTTCATTATAGGTTGTCACGATGATCAAGTAAATACAGATTATCATAAGGCAAAAGTGAACCAGTTCCAATAATATCCGAATTAAAAGACAAACCGAACTTATTGTTTCCAAATGAACACAAATAACCTAATTTGTCCAAATAAGAAACTGAAACCAAATTCCGTCTAAATGACGGCACAACAAAAGTGTCTTTCAAATCCAAATAAAAACCAGTACTCAATAACAATTTAAAATGCCCTATGGCTTCCACCTCTACCGATTTGCCATCTCCAACATATATCCATCTTTCAGAATCAATTGGCTTCCGATAGCTTAGGCAACCCTTTATAGAAACACTGATGTTAGTAGTTGCACTCGAGTCTAACCACCATGTGTTACTAGGTACTCGACGCTAAATTGACTTCGAACGGACCAAAGTAGGAAATGTACTTTTGAGGATCGAACATAATTTAAATTGGCGGATACAAAAGCAATTGTAACTGGATTAGAACAAAAGAAATAAACTAATTATGCTCACATTATAAAAAATAAATAATTATAAATAAAATATATATTCAAATAATGGTTTAACTCATCTCAAGACACCCAATGCACCATCAATATCAAGTCTTTGGACAAGTAATATTAACTGCTAGAGGTATCTTGTTGTAATAATCAAACATTGACAATAAAGCACGTCCAACAACAAACCAGTCTTTGGATTGATTTATCATCGACAAAGCAAATCCTTATAATTATCACATGTTTATCATTACAGGTGTGTATGTAATTCGGCCAAATATTAATCTTCCTTTGGGCCGACTAATACTCGCATGAATATACACAAACACTAACATTTAATATTTTTTTACGAACTACCCAATTCAAGAGATGTTACTTTGGTAACTTCTTGACTCAATTTGCTCACAAAAAATATTAAACTACCACAAAATTTGAATATTATACAACAAAACCAAATTTTGTAACTAATAAAATATATAATTTTTCATGTTGCGCAAGAATTAACACTGGAATATTAATTCTCCTGGGAACACCACACGCACCCAATTCTTTAGTTACTAATTTACTGGATTAATTCTCCTGGGGACCACCACATGCACCCATTCTCTTCCTTCTCTCTCACTCTTTCACTTTCCTTAATTCAAATCTTCCTCGCAGCAGCAGCTTAGAGACAGAGAGAGAAATCAGATGGAGGATATATCGAAATACGCGCACAGTCCTGCACACGTGGCAGTAGCGAGGCGTGACCATGCCGCACTGTGCCACCTCGTTTCCTCCATTCCTCGACTCGCCAAAGCCGGTGAGGTAAACACTGAAGCTGAATCGCTCGCGGCGGAGCTCAAAGCCGACCAGGTGTTCGCGGTTATCGACCGCTGCGACGTTCCAGGAAGAGAAACCTCTCTCCACCTGGCGGTGCGTCTCAGAGACACTGTCTCCGCCGAGATTCTCATGTGTGCTGGTGCGGATTGGAGTCTTCAGAACGAGCACGATTGGAGTGCGCTCCAAGAAGTCGTGTGCACTAGAGAGGAAGCCATTGCAGTGATCATCGCGCACCACTACCAGCCTCTTGTTGGCAAAATTTTAGCGACTCAGGTTTCGCGCATTACGCTCTCCTCACTACCGTTCCCAAACGCAGCCGCTTACGGTTGCTAAACGCGGTTCGCTCGCCGCTACTGCAGTGTGGCGATTCGCGACGAGGCAGGCGAAAGGGTCTCGCTCGATTTGGGAATTTACCCCAAATTTGAATGTAGGGTTCATAAAATTTGAAGATTATTCTCCGATTATTAATTAGCCAGAATCTCAATTTTGTTAAATGTAATTTCTAAACATAAACATGAATAAAGTATGGGTTGCTCTGATACCAATTGTTAGGTTAAACTGTAATTGATTATGATCTTCATCCTAATGATCAAACATATATCTATAATCCCATACTGTAAACATGTTATATAAACTAAATGCGAAAGTCAGTACTTCAGAAGCTTAATGATCTTAGTCTTCCACTCAAGAAAGACCAGTATTTCCTATGGATTTTCTCTCTTGATGGGGATAGAAAGAAAAGAACAGGACTGTATCTGTATTCTGTCTGTGTGCTCTCAGAAGGGGACCATGACCCTTTATATAACCAAAATTAGGTTAATTACTTAAGTTTTAGTATTTTCAATTTGGCCCCTCATCAAATTAAAAATTACTCTATGGTCTCTACACAATCATATTTTCATGACATATGCCTTTAGCCAAAACTTTAATTTATTCAGATCACTTTATTATTTGGCTTAATAAATAATGACCCTAACACATTCAAATATGTATTATATATATACATGACCCAAAATTTGCTAACATTGACGTCTCCAAAATTTATTTCATAATTCAACTGATTTTATCGTGTCAATTTCATATGAAATTGAAAAGATGTCTCTCATGGAGAGAATTGAGGGGTACTATATTATAATAAGATGCTCGAAATCTCTTCCACCTATAAGTATTTTGCATGTCCAAACTTATTTTTAAGCTCATTAAAAATTACTCTGCTAATGATTTTACTTGTCTATTTGTTTGTAGGTGTTGAACTAAAGTTTCTCCATTTTTTATTATGAGTTATTATTGGAAGTTCTTGAAGCATTTATCAACCAACTATCTCTCATTATCTCTTATTGTATATGATAATTTGGATGATTTTTTTCATGAAAATTTGTGTATTTGTTAAGTTAATTATTATTGCTAAAAGTCAACGTTAGTTCATTTTGCGAAATAATAAATTATGCTATAAGGGATTTGATTGCTCTCTTAGTAATAAGGATCGAATCAAACATATATATATATATATATATATATATATATATATATATATATATATATATATATATATATATATATATATATATATACCGAAAAAGTCATCGTATTGTAATGTTATGCAACAATTTAGAAAAGTTGTCAAAATTAAGCCAAATTGCTAATATGCTTTACACTTCTAATATTTTTTCTCGAGCATCAGCTTTAAAGAGAGGTCAATAGTATTCAACTCGAAATAGCGAAGCAACCATGATTGCACACTAGAATGCATTTCACAAATTCCATTATAAATTTTGACTATAACATAGTTGACATCCAAATACTTTTATCATTACATATTTTGTTGCTAAATATAATCAAACAATGTAATATAATAAGATTTATACGATAAACCTATATTTAATAAAAGTAGTAAATCTAATTTTAATTATGTAATAAACATTGAATTAAAAATAATAAATCTAATATAAAAGTCTGAAAACAGTAAATATAAAATATTGAAATTTAAGGAAACTACAGAAATAGCTATTAAAACAGTAAAAATGTAATAAAATTAAGTTAAAATTATGAATCATAATAGTTGATTCTTTTATGATTAACTTATTATTTTAATCTATACATAATAGAGTTTAAAGTTTTAATTTATAAAATTAATGTCATTAATTTAAAGCGACAAAGAAAATCGCATTATTATATTATTAAAAAAAATTAAAGGACTTAGTTAAATTTTAAAGGTTTATATTATTCCATATTTTTAATTCTATCTGAGTACACTTATTAGAAATATTTTTAGAAAGGGGGCGAGTAGAAATAGGAGTTACCGACTTCAGACTGAATATAACATTTAAGTCAAATATATATCATATAATATTATATTATATATATATATATATTCTTTGAAATATATATTTTAATCATAATTTATTATCTTAAAGTATAATTTAAATAAAATTACATCATAAAATATTAATATAAGTAAATTATAAGATAATATATATTAAATAATATTAATATTTAAATTAATGTTATAAACTTAAATAAAAAATAAATCTTTAAATTTTAATTTTAAATCATTTTTTAGCAATTAATATATTTTCATCAATAAATTTTTTAATATTTTTATTTAACAAAAAGGGATAAAGGATATAGATATATCCACTTTGATAATAAGTAGTTATTTAAAATATTCGTACGACTATCCATTTAAAATACTTATTGAGTATGACTGATGTTGAAGTCTGTGACAATTACCGACGAAAAAAAAATAAAAAATGCTTACACAGCATCTATGGTTTGCATAGGAAGAAAAATTAAATTGACAAAGTGAGAGCGAGTACAACTAAGAAAAATAAATCCTGACAACGAAGGTATGAACCACAAAACAAGTCACAAAAAATGGTAACACTTTAATATCACATAATAAAGAAAAGATATAATAATAATATAATGAATATTTAATAAAAATGTTTCTTTACTATTTAATATAATATAATTTAGATAATCAAATCATATGTTAATAAAAATGTTTCTTTACTATTTACAACTATGTATACTCTAGAAAATACTAAGCTTAAAAAAAACCCTGCTTAACATCAGAAAAATGGGTTATGTGTTCAATGATTTTGTTTACTCCTAAATGGCCACTATTTAACCTATTTTAACCCACATTGTAATCTACTCTCCCTTATGAACAATCCTGCAAAAAAAATTGGGTGACAAACAAAGCACAGTGGAAGAAAATGGAAGAACAAAAGCCACAAGAAAACACACCTCTTCATTAGTTCTTCATTTTGTTGGAGCAGCCATAAGTCGGTTACTGAAACAAAAACTGTTGTCATTGCAATCCACAGTCAGAGCCACATCACCCTCTTTTTTCTATGCTTCAAACAATGCCACGTGTACGTTCTAGATATCTCTCTGCCACCTTGGAAATCTTCATGCCACACTTTCCACCAATGGCATGCAATTTTATATCCAGCAGAGATTGCCCGCTTCACTATTTATATCACCATGGTAACATTCGCATCATCATCATCATTTGCTAAAGTTTTACAGTTCACTCTATTCACTATCTCAGTATTCGATCGGAGATGTCTGCTGTTGCCGCCGGAGAAACTACCGCTCCCGCCGTGGAAAAGCCAGTGGAGGAGGTTAAGGCGCCGAAGGAAAAAAAACCTAAGGCTCCTAAAGAGAAGAAACCGAAACAGGCTAAAACTGCTTCACATCCTCCATATTTTCAGGTATTTACGCGTTGATATTTTTCTTACAATCCAGAATTATTGCGTGATTTTTAGGAATTGTTTGTTTATTGATTTTTTGTGTTTGTTCATCAAATTTTTTGTATAGATGATTAAGGAGGCTTTGGTGGCGCTGAACGAGAAAGGAGGATCGAGCCCGTACGCTATAGGTAAGTACATGGAGGAGAAGCACAAGGCGGTGCTCCCTGCGAATTTCAAGAAGATTCTGGGTCTGCAATTGAAGAACCAAGCGGCAAGAGGGAAACTCGTTAAGATCAAGGCTTCGTACAAGCTGTCCGAAACCGCAAAGAAGGAAAAGAAGGAGACAAAAGCCAACACCGAGAAGACAGAATCGCGTCCGAAACGAAGCAGAACCGCAACCACCAGAAACGCAACCACCGCTGCTCCGACGAGCAAGAAAACCGAGGCGATTAAAAAGGCCAAGAAGAAGGTTGGGCCGAAGAAGAGTAAGAAGGTGACTACACCCGCGAAGCCCAAACAGCCCAGGTCCATTAGGTCTCCGGCCAAGAGGGCCCGGAAGGCTACCAGTACTGCGGCTTGATGTTTCATGTTTGTCTTGTTTAGTGAAATTATGATATAACATATGTAGGCATGTAAATAAGAAAAGGTGTGTGTTGTGTAGGTTGTTACACCAAAGTTTGAAGAGAGTTGTGAAGTGTAGGATAATGTTAAGGGTTATGCAGTGTTCTCTGTCATCTGTGATGAAATGGAGGTGATGAGTTTTACTGTTTTCAATAATCGTTTCTCTTCTCCTTGTTTTCCTAGGATGGTTTTGGGGGCGAATTTTCTAGAACTGAGTAAATGGGTAGTGCATGCACGTTTGAGATTTTTTTCTGGGCCGATATTGTTTTTTATAATTATTAGTGACTTATGTTTGGGCCGAAAATACTAGCGCACTAAACGCATAATTATTTGTAATTATTCGATAGGTTGATTTTTCACAAATTTATTTTATTACTGTTGCCATAATAGATTTTCTATATATAGTCATAAAATTTCAACAAATTTGACAGTTTTTGCAACCATTATGAGAATGCCAAACATCAAGTATGGACATATCAAATGCATAACACTAAAGAGAAAAGTATGTATTTAAAGAAAGGATAAAATTTAAGAATATGTTTTATATGCTCCTAGATAATGTTTTAATAAATTTTATGATTCAATTAGTTAAACATGGATAAATTTTAATTATATATATCTAAATTAAATGTAATTTAATATTAGTATTTCAATTTGTTTAATAAATTCATATGATTAAATTTATTAAATTTATATGGGATTTATACCTACACAAACAAATGAATGAGTTTTAATATTTTAAATGTGGGAATGTTTTTTGGAAGAAGTTGATAGGTCTAGACAAATATATGAATGAGTGAGTTTTTAGTAACAGTAAATGAGATGTTTTTTTATTAAATTATGTAAGAAGAAAAAATAGTATGTTTTTAAAAAAAATATTTAATATATAAAATAAAATAAAATTGAGTTTTTTTAGTAATAATAAAATTAGAACAATTTTTTAATTGTTCGATTATGATTTATAGGATCATATCAAATTTTATCATTTTGATATACCTTATAATTGATAATTATTTATATGATCATTCCAAATAATAATAAAGAATTTACATGTTTTTTAATTTTTTTAAAAATTTAATATTAATTCTTAAATATGGGATCCCTCAATAAAATAGTTTAATAGAAAAATATATAATGCACGTCTTAAAGGTAATATACCTATATTTTGTAAGGTGAGTGTATTTTAAAAATTAGATATATAATACATGGACACAACATTATTATTAAATAGAAAAAATCATTACAGAATATTATATGGACAATTACTTTCAAGGGATGGTATCTGGTTATTTATGCTCCAATCAAGAGACAAGTATGTTAGTTATGTATTTATAGGTTATTTTTATGAAGAAGGAAAATTATTTTGTGTTAAGAGATTTAAAGTTTTTGAAAATAAAATTTCTTTTGTTCAATAAAGTAATTATACTATTTTTACTCTATGCAAAAATATAATAATTTTATTTAAAAAGTTAAAATTTTATAATAAAAATATGTTTAAATAATGAAAAGAAAAGATAAAATAAAATTTAAAATGATATTTTTTTTTAAATGTGGATGCTTAGACACCTTAATGTGTTTTCCTTATAAAAATGATTTTCCTCTTTATAAATGGTTTTAGTTATAGATTTCCCTATTTATATATAACTGGTTAGAGAAAAATAAAAGTATCATTACTTGCAATATAATAAAGAAACAGTGATAGTTATTATATTTTATATATTTAAAAATAATAAAAAATGAGAGAAAAAAAATGATATAAGTAATTAGTGAGAAAAAAGCAGATACATTTAAATAATAAAGAAAAAAATAAAACATTTATAAAATATTTATAAAAAAATAAATTATATAAAAAATATAGATATAGCCACTTTAGCACCTACATTTCAAACTAATGATATATATAGTATATATAAAGGAAATTCCTTTTTATAACTTTTAAATATCATTAGGTAGATTTTATATATTATATATAATATTATAAATATATATAATATTATGATTTATAAATATATAATATATTATAATTCAACAAATAAGAGAGATAATATAGAAAAAAAATAATTATTTTTTAATTTATATATTTAAAAAAAAATAGAAATAAGAGAAAGAAAAAAGAGTGTAATAGGATGAAACAAGTGAAAAAGGAATGTGAATGCATTAAAATAATAGTTGGTATTTTTTCTTCTTCTTGTTCACACCTTAAAAAAAAAAAAAAACAATAAGAGAAGTTATTCCTGCCTGACCATTATCAGAAACCCAGTCCATTTGAAGCCTAAAAACCTCAAAAGAGTTACTACCTTGGATTGAATGTAATCTGAGGCCCAATTTGTCTCTGTCCCTTCGATACTCCACACTTAAGAATCTTCACAAAATACACAAAAGAGGTTCTAGAATATTCAATTTTGTAGTGTTTATAGTTAGGGTTTACCTTCTTTTATTAATTAAATTCTATAGATGATAGTAACAAAGCATCATAATGATAAATGTGGAAAATTCAAGGTTAGGTTTGCCTTCCCTTTTGGACACCATATCCATGAACAAATACTGAGCGAGGAATTAGAAATATTGGACCATCAAGTCCTTCCCTATACCTTATATAAAAAGTATAACTTAATTAATAAATTTTTGGGCATTGTTGAAATTTTCTCAGAAGTCATCAATTTATCGAGTACATGATTATTAAGTTAAAAATATAAAATGGACCAACTCTAGTTTTAATATGTAATCCATTATCTAATTTATTAACTCCATAGGTTAAGATGAGTTCATGCATTAGTTTATTTTAAAGAATTTATTTACAAATTAAATTATGTATTAATTCATTAAAAAAAGTATATTTACATATTAAATTAAACTAAGAGATTATAATTTAAATAATATATTTTATATTATAATATGTAAATATATTATAATATTATAATTTAAATCATAATTATTAATTAAAAAAACTTAAATGATTAATTTTAAATAAAGTATTTAATAATTAAATATATTATTTTCTTAATTTATTTAATAACAAATATTAATTAATGAATAAATACTTAAAAAATATTTATATTAATTAAGGGTTTAGAAATATTTATAAATAAATTGATTGATCGACCTGCTAATCCGCTAACTTATCTTTGGATGATGAATTAGAATTTTGTACTCATCCTAAATATGGTAGGTCATTGTCCCAATTTTTTAAGGATCATAAGACAAACAAAAATAAAAACTGATCTATTTTGTAATCCCATGTTAAATTACAGAACAAATAAAAAGAAATAAATGTATTTTTATTTATAGGCTAGTGGTGTATTAAAGGATGAATATTTATTTACATTTGTGTTCTCTATAGTGAAATAGTGGACTTTGGCGAGAAATAGAAAGAATCTAAGAGAAAAAGAGGGATCGATCTAGTAAGTACTCTTTGTATAAAGAAATTAATTTGAATAAGAGGTTTTTCCGTAATAATTATTTTGTATATTTTTCTCTATATTTATTAGTTATTTATTATCCATGAAGAAAAAGTTTTTCAAAACTTTTAAAAAACTTATATTATACTCATTAATTATTTGTGAAAAACTGTACATACTAGGTTCATTGATTTTTGTGAAGGTTTTTCTATGTTAAAAGTTTCTTCTGTCTTTCTAATTTTGATGCATATTATTCTTTATATGTTATATGATATTTTTGATTTAAACAGAGAAATTTGATTTCTTTTTCTATTTTTCCTGATAGAATTCTTACATCGAATTAAAAATATAATAAAATTATATTATATAGATGAAACAGAAAACTTAGTTTATTATGTAATATTAAATTAGGCATCTTTTAATTTTTATTATAATATCAGCGTGAATTTTAGCTATTGAGTGAGTTTAAGTACAGTAGTATATTGTACCATCGGTAACTATTACCACTAGAATGTATAACGGTTTATATTACATTATACGTAATGACATCTTGTCTAATTAGAAGAAGTAAATACGTTAATATTGTGTAGGGTATATATAAAAGGTACGCGCATGCAATTTTGTTTTTTATTTTATTTCCTGTGTCCTAGCAAATAAAGACAAATATAAGGTTCACAAATGTTGGAACAAGTTGATCAAGGGGTGAATTGGACCATTTGGTCCACCTAATAGGATGTACCAGTAACTGTCAAATTCTAATGAATAAAGATTATTCTCATTGGAATCCGAGAGAAATATTTTGACAAAGTAAAAAAGAAAAAAAGAAAAATCAATTGCACACAAGCATAAAATAAGAAGCTGAACAAATGCCTTAATAAATGGTGACCATATTATTACAACTCTCACATAAGCTATCTTTAAATTGTCAACCAAGATTTTAGCTTTGGCCTTTGGCAAAAGAAAACACACACGTGGAAAAGCACACATATGTGCTCTTTCATATCTTGAAGGTTGAATCAAAGTTTTAATTGGGATATATATATATATATATATATATATATATATATATATATATATATATATATATATATATATAGTGTAGGAGGAAAAAAATTAGAATAAAAAGAGAAGCTTTTGAAGGTAGAAAGGTAAAAAAAAAAAAGTTGCATGGGAGTAAGACAAAGCATGCTGAACGGGAGAAATGGCGAGCAACGCATGCTAGAACATATGGACCCACCAAAACTCTCCATGCTGACCAACGACCACCATGAATCTAATTCATGCACCATCCAATTTATGCTTTTCTAGTTGCAAATTTGTGATTGCTGCCACTTTCCCTCTTCACTTCTTAACTTCAATTTTAACCTTTTTTTTCTCACAATCATTCATTTACTTACCTTTTTCCTCCTTTCTTCAGGCTTCTCTAGTTGTGACCTTCACTTCCTTCATTTTTTCTCTTTTCCATCTTATCTCTATGTACTACAGCAAGTTCATTGTGATGTATACTTACATTATTTGAATTCGTAAACGTTTTCAATATTAATTGTTCAAAACTTATACTGAACATTATGTATCCAAACATACATTAATATTGTTTTATTTGAATTCCTAAATGTTTTAGGCCTTTAAATTCACAGATTAAGTCCTCCTAATACGATTTAAATGCTATCAATGATCTCTACATAATAATTTCGGTTTACATGTTCGTATTGTGAAGCAATTAATTTTTTATTAAAGTATTTTAATAAATAATTTTTGTTATTATTTTACTCTCCTAAATTTTTTAAAGTATATATATATATATATATATATATATATATATATATATATATATATATATATATATAATAAGTTATTATGTAAGAACATTTCTCTTGGAAGAATTTAATAAATAAGGATCCGTCCCAATAACACCCAGTCTAATGACTAGCTAGGTCAAGGATTATGGCTTTTTGGTAAAATTTTACAGTGGTTGTTTGGCTTTATTGAAAAAATATTTGTTGTTGTACGTATTGGTAAAAATCCTAAAAATAGAGAGATCAATATTCGATACCCAATAAATATTTGGGGCTGAAATATCCGAGATATTAAAAAAACTTCGAGATATTTATGATACGAAATCTTCTATAAATAAAAAAAAAATCTCTTTTTATTTCATTTATCTTATTATTTACTAGTTGATATTGATTTAAATAAAAAAATCAAGTATTCTTATTTTATTATGTCTATTACAAGACGCTCATTAATCAGGATAAGGTTCTTAATAGTAACAAACATTACTGCATGTGTCATTTACAATAACCTAAATAAAAAAGAAACATTGAATAGAAATTTAATTTATTCATACTGTTGTTCGCATTACAAATTAGTTGCTTATGTTAAGATACATGTAAGAAAATATTCTTTTAGCTTATCTGCTACAAGCATTTGTATTCTTTATATTAAAAAACTATTATTCGTGTATTTTTCTATATATATATATATATATATATAATATGAATTAATTTAATTAACATATTAAATTTTATTGAATACATTATTAAAACTAAATACAAAATATTATACTACAACTTAAAACTCGTTATAAATTAACATTGTCTTTTTATTAGATGTAATACATGTAGTGTTATATACGACAATCCTTATTATTAAAAATTAATAAGATTTTTTTTTCAATATATTGATATTACAAATACTCTTAAAATAGACCATATTATTGAAAGATAGTTGCCACTTTTAAATATTTTAATATTACATCTTAAAATTATGTACAAGTAGAGTGAAAATTTGTGTATTAATTAATCATAATATAAAACATATAAATAATTTTGTTTTATAGAAATATATTCTTAGTTTCACTATATATGATTCTTTTAGAAATAAAAAAGTTTGTTTGAATTTAGATTTGTTTAATTTTTTTCATTATTTTTAATCTAATCCTTTTATTAATAATATATTTAGTTATTTTTTATATACTATTTTATTTTGACAACATTTCTTAAAAACATCTCTCAATAATTCTATTTAATAATATAATATTAAGTATAAATGATCTTTATTTTATTTTAATTATTTTATAATTATAATAATAATAAATTGAATTGTTTAATAGATGTCTGTGTTTATGTTATTCTCTGTACATGATCTCTCTTATTTTTTAAATCTTAAGACAGTTGTTAACAACTGCATCTTAAAAGATATTTTAATTACTTAAAACAGTATCTGTCAAATGCTTTTTTCTGCTCTTGATACAATAAATACTTTATTTTGAAAGACTCAATTCACCTGAGTCACGAAATCAAAGTATATGCTGCAAACTTTAGAACTGCGCAAACATTAGTGTCGAACATAGTTAATGTAAGTACGACAACTGAAGAACTTTGTATAAAAAGAAACTGGCAAAACTATTTTAAGTAAGTACATCGATCATTAATGATCAACTCAATGCACTTGCCTTGAGGACGAAAAGTTGTTGCGTGAATTTTATGCGTTCAAGTTATATTGATTAAACAAATCAGGTCGTGACATATCATTATTGCATTGGAAAGAGAAGTTTTAGCATGCATTCAGCATATATATATATATATATATATATATATATATATATATATAAAAGAGCTTTGAAGTTGTGTCTTATTATGTTTTATATCAAAAGAAGTGAGGACGATTTAATCATAATCTGTCTATATATTATACTTCAATACAATTCTGTGTGTCACATCCAGAGACTATTGGTTAAAGTTCAACCAATTTTACGTCTAGTTACAAAATGCATATTAATCAATTTCTTTCATTTTTTTACCAACAAAATGGAAGTGATCAATTTAGCAAATGACAGGAACTAGATGACAGTAAACTATATTGTGCATGCACGTGACGTACAGATCAATGCAGAACAATTCTACAAGATGCTTGCAGAGAAGAACAGATAGGAAGGTTTCTTGTAACGAGAGAAATTAAAGAATACGGACATTAAAAATAACAGAAGGATTGTGAAGGATCACAACATATGCTGTCACACCTGCCATCTTAGGCATGAGGGCCAGAGCCTAGGTAGAAGACTAGTCTTATGGCAAGGCTACTACTGTACCATAACTTAAAATATAAAACTACCTAAATTCTAGTGCCACTCTTGGACGCATGCATCTCAATTTGCGCACACAGCTGCACTCACGCAGAAGGGCATAGAGAGTTTAATTCTTCTGATCCACACATAATTTTTATACAAAAATTAATATAGCATGTCCCCAGCATCCATAGAACAATTAACATATGGTATTACAAATAGTTTTAGAAATCGTTTCCTTGCACTTGTTTTCCTCGATCATTTTTCAAATACGCATATCCCAATATCACAGTCTGAGCTTGTGTTTAGAAACGGGCTTAGCCTGTTCCCGTCATCCCTACTACTCTGCAGTAGTAGCAGTGCCATGTCTTGGCTATCATTGGGTTCAAAGCTTGAGAGTCCGTTGGTTGCATGCGTGTCTTCTTGACTCAGTTGAGAGGCTACAAACTTGTCAAGAGCTCTCCAATCCGTTACTTTCTTTGTGTCGTTGTTGAATAACCTGTTTTGAATGTCTTCATCTTCGTTATTGTCTGATACTAGTGACACTGTGCTTGGCCTCTTCACTAATGGCAAAGAAGGGCTTTCTAGCTGCGGAAGTTGTACAAATGGGTCTTGGAGCATGCAACTCAAGTTATCTGCTTCTATCTCTTGCTTACAAATGAAATTTTGAGCTAAAAAGCTCTGAGACTGCCTTGAAATGAGATCGATTGGATCCACCACACTGCTTACCCCACTTGCTTCCTCAAAAAAGTAGCTTGAGTCCCATCCTTCAATACTCTTTGTTTGTGCAGTTGTTTTCTTCTTGAAGGCTCTGCACACAACCCATCCTTCCTCCTGCATGAACACAATTTAAGTTCCAAATTGAGATGAAACTTTCTGACTTTTATCATCTTTTACTGTTTGAGTTTATCATACGAGCAAAACGTTAGGGGAGAGGAAAAAGTAAAAAGTTTCTGGTGTTGCTCCTTTAAAGTTGAAGTAAGGTTTTGCTTTAGCTTTTGAAAAATTTTCCAGTTGTTTCGTGAGAGGCTGAATGTAGTCAAATAATTAATTACGTTTTTACAATCAAAATGACAAGAAAAGTGTGTAGTGGAAAAGGAAGGGAAAGAAACAAGTTTAATTATTCGATGCTGAAAACAGCGACTTTTGACTTCTTGTTTGTGAAAGTTTTGTTGCGAGAAAGCGTGTACGTGACTTATGAATATACAGAAGTTAGTGGAGTACTAAAAAAGCGGAGAAAGTGAGATTAGAGACACCAACCAGTTGCATGACCTGAATTAACTTAAGTAACAACAAACAATGAAGTCTTTTCATAACATGAAGCATAGCCACAGAGAGGAGAGAGAGAAAGTATAAGCTACTACAGTTACTCTATAAACATCTATATCCAAAAGAAAATAAAAAACCAAAATGAACCTGACTTTTTCTATAAAATATAAAGTGACAAATTGATTTTCTGGAAAAAGTTCATGGCAAAGTTTTCAATAAAGATGGGGAATGGAATTATTTTAAAGTTGGAAATCCTTTTTGACGTCATTAAGAAAGCTATAGAAAATGAAAATAGTGCTCGACTCTAGCTTATATGCATTTTAGCTTTTTGTGTATGTGTCTGAAAGAGGAAAAGGTTAAGGAATGTGCCATAATTAACGGGTGGCCATCTAATAAGGCAAAGTTTGAACGTAACACATTAAACTCAACGATTCAAATGGTACTTATTAAGCATGTATGAAGTAATATAAGCTTGCCTGTGGAGGTCCATTCTCATCTGATTCAAGCCTGTACTCGTGCATGATCCAGTCAGATTTCTGTCCATTAGGGGCTCTTCCTTTGTAGAAGACAAGGGTTTTCCTCATCCCAATTAGTTTTGTCTTGTCATAAACTGCTTTGTCTCTTCCTGTAGCCTTCCAAAAGCCCGCCATAGTAGCTCTATTAGTTCTTGTCCCTGTTGGATACTTTTTATCTTTGTGGCTGAAAAAATACCACTCATTCTGCTCTTCATACCCGATCCTGCATCTATCTGCGATGTCACTCACGTCAGAAAAAAATGAAAAACTAACACAGATTTATACAACTAATATATGATCAAATGACAATTAATATGTCAGATCAAATATTAAGCATTCAAAACCCTTATAGTCGATTAAAATGAGTTATGAGGTGGAAAACATTATGGTATCAGAAAGTAGTTAACATAATTATTGTATGTAACTATGTTCATATACATACCTTGGAGATCCCATGGTTCAATACGATATAGATCGATCTCTCTGATAACGTCAAGGTCAATCTTTTGAGAAGCCACTTTTTTCCTCAGATAGTAACCAACAAGCTCTTCATCTGTTGGGTGGAATCGAAAACCCGGTGGGACACATGACTCCATCGACTCCATCATAGCAAATACTGGTACTGCATCAAATTCACCACCACCATTAATACCCACCACACTTGACTTTCTTCATCATGTTTGAATTATAAACAACCAACATTTGATGTGAGTGTTAATCAATACTGCTTAATGTATATATATATATGTGTGTGTGTGTGTGTGTGTGTGTGTGTGTGTATGAGAGAGAAGCGAAGCCGAGAGATATGATAGTAATAGTAAGAATAATACCATAAGCGAGAAAAAAAGAAAAGAAAAAAAGAAAAGGCAAGCCTCAATAAAATGAAATATTTAAAAAATATAATATGAGGCCTTTTAGTGAAAAGGTGACAAGTGTTATCAGAGATAATCATCAGCTCATTTGGTGGTGAGCAACACTCACCAAATTCCGTAGGAAATAAATATAAGCGCGTGTTATAAATAAAACCCCATGATTTCAGAAACAATGATTTTCTTCCCTGGGCCGGATTAAAAAAAGATAAGAAGTTGGAACAAAGAGAGAGAAGAAAGTTAATCATGAGAGTTTGGTTTTCAATTAAAAAAAAAAAACGAAGAGTTGAAACTTAGCATAGCCCTGCGTTTTGGGCAAGGGTGAGAAACGGACAGGTAGAGGCTGTGTTAATCATGTTGTCTTCTGGTAGTGAATGGTGAGAATGATTCATCATAGAACGGGGTTCCCCATTCCGCATTACCATTAATAATTATGTATATTCTCAAATAATTAGACACATAAGTTAAGCTCCATAAAAACACAACATGACATGGATAAAACAAAACAAAAGCAACTTTATAGGAAACCATTTTATTAATATGTTTGAACCAGTGGCACAGAACGGAATTTTCATGCTTAAATCTGACTTAAGAAAAATATTATAATGCAAGAGCCGTTTGATTAGTATGAGCTAGCTAGGAGCTGAAGTGGCCCATTATATGAATACACGTATTAATTGAAATGGAAAGAATGAACTAAGTACTGTATTAAGAACTTAAATAATGCTATGAGGCTGAAATCAATGAATAAAGAAAGGGCATGGTAAATGGGAGTGATGTTATCACAAATTGGGCACGCGTTTCTCGAAAGAGAAAAGGGTTGGGAAGCAAAAAGAAAGGCACCGTTGTATTGGATCAAGGCGATGAGAAAAAGAAAGAAAAGGTTGAGAAAAAGTGGGAGAGGATAGTAGAAAGCACATATACTAGTGTTGAGGCTTTGCCAGTGAGAGAGTCTTGGTTCGTCTCATTCAGGAAACTGGGGCTCTGACTTTGCTGTCTCTTTGTCGAGAATTTTCATGGCACGTCTGATTTCTTGCCTTGACGAACTTTGAGGAAATATGCTGACCCCAAAACCATTACTTTTATGAGCTACCCTCCCTAAAGCCTATATACACAACAGATGCAGGTTCACCTTTCTTTCTAATGAATGACTCTGGTTTCAATTTCAAACACTCATAGTTGATTAGGTTGATTAAAATTAACAAGCAAAAAACTATATATATATATATATATATATATATATATATATATAGAGAGAGAGAGAGAGAGAGAGAGAGACGGAACGAAGGTTTTCGAAATCAGTGAGAGTTGAGTTTATTGGAAGATTAAACTCCCACTAAATCAAGGTTGAAGTTGTTTAGAAAGAATTTTTATATTTAGTATTGATCATGTATGAGAATATCGTAAAAGTAAAGTTTCTCAAATATACACCCAATAACTTGTTTTGGAGATGCAGTTCGATGTGATGAAGTTGAAGGGCAAGCAGAAGATGATATTAAAAAGTGCTACATTTAGTGTAGTTTACTAAGACTCTGGTGTAGTGTTTGCCAAACGTGACTGATTTAACACTGCCCGGGATTAACGGTGGAAAAGGGTGATGATATGTATATGAAAATAGTAAGATACTATAAATTAAGACAAAAAAGAAGAAAAGCTTGTGGTGGAGTTAAATTCTGAAGAGAAAACATGCATGGTTCTTGGTTGGAGATGCAGGAGAAGAAGGTGATGATGATGAGGCTTACCTGATGAGATAGTTGTTTAAAGCAAGTGGTATTAATGAAGAAAAGAGAATTGAGATGAAGAATGAAGAATGAAGAAGATATATATATATATATAGAGAGAGAGAGAGAGAGAGAGAGAGAGAGAAGGATAAGTAAGAAAAAATGGCTATTTGTAAAGAATATAAAAGAAGAGAGGGAGGACCGCTGAAATGCGCATGGGTTGATGGTTGTCCCCCCAGTAGGTGACGTCATTGCCTAACCTTCCTACACCATTCATTACCTTTTCCTTTTCTTTTTGTTTCTTTTCCTTTTCATTTCTTCAACATTTTTTCTCCTTACAAGTACAGTGTCTGTTCGGTTAGATAATTAATAACTTACTTTAATTAAAATTCATCATTATTATTATTATTATTATTATTTTACATTTAATTTAAATTCTTAGAAATGTTGAGTAAAGATGCACGCAGCCACACACATATACTGATTTATTTACATTGTTTTTCACACTCATTACTTTGTACTTCATTGTCTTCTTCCTTTACTTTTCATCGCTTATGAAATTTCATTCTACCTTTTTTCAGTTATTGTTTACATGATAAAATTTTCATTAGTTAATATTAGAATAAAAGTGTCCTATAAAGAATTATCTATTTAATTTATAACGTGTTACTATATTCTTTTTAATATTTTCTCCTATACAATTGCTCTTTTCCCTGTTTGTTATATATTTTGGTTCACATTCTTGTTTATCATAATTTTTAGGGTTATTTTATATTGTAATTCGTTCGTTAAACTTAAAATATAGCTTCAAATTATGATATCTATTATATTTAAAAATGCATTGCCTACATACTTAGAGGCTTAAAAGTTACTTTCAATCATCAATAAAACACATTATAAAATTACTAACTTGTAGTTAGTCTATCTCGTGAGTTCAATTATGAAAGTTTCTTTATTGGTATAATATAAATGTACTACTCCTAATACTAAAATAACACACCATTTAACGAATTGATCAGAAGTTATGGGTGTAAAAAATATTGAATGGATTCAAAATCAAATTAAAGTTAATTAAAAAAGCTAAAACATTTTGATAAAATATCGAATTGAAACTTTTTATTTAAAAAAAATTAAACTTCATTTGTTTACTCAAGAAGTGTAAAATAAAAATAATTGATAAAAGAAAATAAGAGAAAAAAATATTTCCTTTATTTAGTAATAAAAAATGAAAAAAGAAACACGTTACATATAAAAATATAATAAAATATTATTTTACATAATTATTCTCACTCAAATAAATGATTTTTTATCTTTGTGTTTATAATTCCTATTTATCTAACCCATCTTTATATATATATATATATATATATATATATATATATATATATATAATTCCTATTTATCTATCTATCTTTTTCTATATAACATATATATAAAAAAATATTATAATCATATATCAAAATATATATTTTAAAAATGAGATATTAATTTAAAGGAATTAAATTAGAAACACATTTTTTCATAAAAAAATATATTAATAATTGCATGGATAATTTTATAATAAAATAAATATTTTTTTATTAATTAATTAATTTATTTATAATTTTTAAAATTAACACTTCCATTTATATTATTTTTTTAACAGGAATATATATATATATATATATATATATATATATATATATATATATACTTCTATTTTTTTTCTTTTCCTTATTATTTAACGAACTAAATCTCACATAAGTATTAAATGGAGAACTAAAAGTTTCCCTCTCATAAAAAGCTTATGTTTTTAAGCAATTTTTCTCTAATATTCCTCAATCAATACACTGTCAATAATAATCTTTTCTATGTTTATCACTAGAAAAACATATGGGGTTTCAAATATATAAATTATAATAATTATTTTTATTTAAAATATAATACTTTTATGAAATAAAAACATTATAAAAGAGAATTCTTTAAATATAATTATAGATAATATGAAAAACAATTTGATAAGTAAACACTCAAGTTATATCTTAATATAATTAATCTTAGGTGGCTAATCTCATTTCTTGAACATTATATAGTAATTACCTTATAATTAATGGTTTTGTATAGCCCATATATAAGGCATGCAAACAAACACATGTATTTTTTTAAATTTCTCACACTACATCTCTTAATACTCCATCACGTGTTTCTCCAAGTCAAAAAGTTATTGAGTTAAGTTCTTTCTTTCTTTAGTTAGTTACGTTTGTATAAAGTCCTATGGAAGATAAACAACTTGTAACAGTAACAGATCCTTTGTCTTTTGCATTAACGAGTTTTATATATTTTATGGTTTTATATATAGTAACTATTTTTTTTATTCTAATATATATGAGTTATACAGTTTTTAATATATTCCTTAATTTTTTAAAACAGAAACTAATTAATACTTCTCTTTCACTTATCTAACATGTGTTTAGCTATTAAGATCTCATTGATTGACTTTCAGAAATAATAAGTTATTCTTATTTCTCGATGGCAAATATAAGTATATATTTTTTATATGATTTAACAATTAATTAGTTTTAACACTATTATCCTTACATTTTAGTTCAATTATATAATATTTTTCTTTTCATACAGCGAAATTTGAGATTCTTTTTTTTTTTTTAACTTGCAAATATATTTTGACAAAGCTTTAGTTATTATTTACATTAAGAATTAGTTTTTGAAATGATACAAATTGAATTGTAGAAAGGTGAATTTGTAAATTCCTCTAAAAACTCTTTTTGGGCGCAATGGTTTCAGTCTAAGGACAACTTGCCACGTTAGCCCAAAATGACCTCCCAAGTATATCAATAAGATCAGATATACTTTCAGTGCTTAAAAATCTCACAATATTTAGCTTTTTAATCGTTACTTACAAAAAATACAGTTTCAGTTTGTGCCTTTTATCGTGTAATTTAATTTTTTTGTCAAATAATAAATCATAATTAATTCATTTTTTAACTTTCAAGGATTGAAATAAATAATATTTTTCAGAACTAAAACCTAAAATTCATCATATTCTTAAGGACTAAATCATAGTTAAATGTTAGATTAATATAGTAAAAATGCTTCCCTTCTGTTCTGACTACTCTTTGCTTATACAGCCTTTTATTTCGTCTTTTTAAATTGAATGCTTACTTTTTTTCTTCCCTCTATCAAAATTCAAGCCTTACGAATATATTTTGAAAAACATCACACATATGTGGCAAGATATAACAATCTCCAACATTGATAAATTTATTTATTTTTGTTTATATATTCCTTCTGCTGTGGTTGGCTTCACATGCATGTGGTTTTATCTTATGATTAAAAAAAGATGAATTAACTTAGAAGTTTTCACTTATTAATTAGTTTAGTTTTATATTAAGAAAAACAGTTAGACTATCAGTATGTAGCTGCTCTAAGTAGTAGTGGACCCATAAGATTAAGTTACGAAAAAATTTCATTTCAATTTTTTACAAAGTATTTATAAAGAAATCTATCTAAATATATATATTTAAGCATAATAATTGTTCCAAATTGATTTTATTTTTTAATCTACACAATGAATTATCTCAATCAAGAGAATACCCAAATTACAAATTACAAATTTTAGTTGGGAACAGAATTATTATATCAGTGTTCAAAGACAGAGTTTCATTACTAGGAAATTCATCCCACACTAAACTCACATAAATATAACAAACGTGCATGGCGTATTTTCTATTGATTTGAATAAAATTGTTTCTTTTCTAAACACTCATCGATTTCTAACACGTCTTAATCCTTAGGAAAGACAAAGAAAAGACAAGTAATATAACGAAGTGAGGTTGATACATGGACATCCTATAGAAAAATAAAACACTTATGATACAACTTAATTTATCAATTTATCGATATAATAGTCCTGAAAGGATTTTATGAGAATAAAAACAATTCAATTTAATTATCTAAATATAATTTATATATTTATGTCGGATACTATTTCATATTAATTTCAATATATATATATATATATATATATATATATATATATATATATATATATATATATATATATATATATATATATATATATACAAAAAATATATTATATACACACTCTTGAGAACATTTTTCAATTTAATGAAAGTGCTTTATCTTATGGGGGTTTCATAGCTTCAGGGTGAAGATATAAACATTGCGATTTGGGAGAATATTTTATTTTTCACGTGAGCGATAGAATTCTCTATGCTTCATCGTATGGTCTTCATACAGAACAGATAAATATTGTCCAATAAACTTAAAGCTGTCTATCTCATTAAGATAATATATTTTGTTAATTAAATGTTATAAAAAGGTTTATTGCCACCGTTTTGGTTAATTATGGACTTAATGGTGACATGACAAAATCCGATTATGCAGAATAGGTTGTAAAACCTATTTCTCTTTGGTGGCGTAGCTTACAGTGCTCATTTTAAGGTACAAGTTTAGGGTCTTGGAATCATTTCTCGACAAGTATTTTGGAGAAGGAACAAAGCAAAAGGAGAGAAAACGTAAGTTAGTGTGAGTAACCAACGTGTAAGTCACGGGTTGGTGAATTTGTCTTCCAACTTTACGTAGAAGATAAACAAAGAAAAGACAATAAATAACTCAAACATTCTACTAAGGCCATGCCTTTGATTACCCCGGAACCCCACCTTCTTTGGTCCTCCAACAGAGTTTTAGTTGAAATCAAATTCTTTTCCAAGGGCTACCTTCAGTCTTCAAATTACAATAATATTATTCCTTTCATACCAATTAATCCTATATTATCGACCATTCTTGCTGGAGGATACTTCATCAGTAAGTTTCACCAATTCAAAATTTTTGTAATGCTTACAGATTTACGGAATATTCACTGAACACACACCCAAGAGTAGCAGCTGATCAAGTGTGACTCCTGCTACTTTAACAATTGAAGAAAGTAAACACATGGAATTAAAGGGTGAGATTGAGGAATCTATGATATTTTGTTTTTATATACATCATTATGCCATAGATATTGGATCAGT